AACGCGTTAGAGTACTTTGATTATTTTTTGCAGTAACAAGTAACCTAACGCATTAGTTTGCTGTTTGAGTAATCAAATACTTGAGTAGATTTTCAAACAAGACATCAGTTGATTCCGTTACTTTTAGAACGCTGGTCCTTCAGCTTCGAAACAGCAACGACTATCTTTTGGTTCTAATAATGGAGATAACGTTAAACCTATCAGTCTGAAAGAAGCCATGAAGCTTGTGGCTCGCTACGTGGTAGAAGAAATGCTGCCATTGTCTACGGTGGAGTCTAAAACATTCTGCAGGATTGTCAGAAAAATCCCCACAACTTAATAGATGGAGGAGGACTCACTGACAGACAAGTCAGATTTAGGACTTGCATTATGCCTGGTACACACTATATGACTTTTCTGCCCATTCTGAAAGTCACTATGTCACATTACACGATTGTGGAGTCATAAAATCGTGTCGTGACTTGGCCGACAGACAAGACACACTACACAGTGGTACTTAATTATCCCAGTTCGTTTCACGACGTGTGTGATGTCATCAGGTTATTCTTGTCCTATTTTTATTACTTTTACTATTATTTGAGTCACTGTGTGTGTTCATGTGTCAGCTGAAATGTTGTTGTAGTAACGTAAAAGGCGCCAGCAGACGGCAGGAGCTACATTTGAAGCACCATACGTAAACATTCAAGCTACTGAATCCTTCACAACCAAGTTCCTGCAAATGTTTCACAATAAAAGCCTATTTAGAAAATGGAGGGATTCTCCCTGCCGAGGTTATAAGGGGCTTTTAATTTGAAACAAATTCAGGAAGTGTTGAGTTTGACATGCCTTAACTTTATAAAGACAACGGGAGTGGATAAAAAATAAAAATATAAAGATACAGAGGGATTAATTAATAACAGCCCGTCTATAATGTAGTCTGTTTCACATGAAGCTGGGAGCCTCTGCAGTTGTGGTGAGTAAAAGCCCCGCCGCTATTTGTTAATGTTATTACTTTATGTCCGTCTCCATTATGAGGACGTAACATTGTTTGCTAGCTTGATGCTAATGACAGTAACGTTAACTCAGCGGGTTGATAAAGTGCCTCTGCTGTTTCACACCATCATTTCCCCCTTTTACTCTGTGTGGTAACATCCCTAGAGGAAATATTAAAAACGCTGGGGTGTTGTTGTCATACAGTTGTCTATGGCAGCAGATCGTTCTGTGTTTCTACTGGTCAAAGTGACGGCTGTGATGGGAGAACTGGATCTCAGTGAAGGGCAAGTGGTCCATAACTTTAATTTTGGAGACAAAAAGTAGTATTCGAGTTACTTTTCTCAGGGAGTAACGCAGTAAAGTAACTGGTTACTTTTCAAAAAAGTAATGCAGTAAAGTAAATTGATTACTTTTAAAGTAACCCTTACCCAACTCTGGTAACCATTCACTTGCATTCACACACGGATGGAACAGCCATCAGCCATCAGGCTTCAGTATCTTGCCCAGAGATACTTCAATGTGTGGAAGCCTTGGATCGAACCACTGATCTTCTGATTAGCAGTTGACCTCTACCTCTGAGGCACACTCGCCCTGTACCTGGCAAGTTGCAAAAATGTTGATATTAAAGCTATCAGCAAAATGTTCACTGACATCGTATTTCATTTGTTTGCAATACACTATCTACTCATAGTGACCACTGCATTTTCTTTTAATTTACTTTTTTATTAACATTCAATTAAAATCACTATCCTTGCCTTACACCAAAGTGCTTTTGTTGCCTAAATCTCAGGAGTTTTGACCAAGCCTCCAGGAACATCGCCGGACTCTGAAGCCAATTTTACATAAACCGTGAAATTCAAAGTTCTGGGTCTATCACATGATCCCATTGGCCCGAAAAGACATTTTGACTTAGGCTTACATTGGGAAAGAGACGTCTGTAAATTGGTGAATACAATTTTTAAGTGTCACAATCCCCACAAAATGACGTTCATTATCAGTATTTGATACATTTGGTCCGAAAACATTTTGAAAGTCTAGAGGAGTCGCACGATTAACTCATTTTATCCCCATTCAAGTGCTAAACTGGAAGCTAGCTGCTCAGCTGGAGGAAGTCTCTAGTGTGCTTGCTCTATGGGCCCAAAGATATGGAAGATACAGGTAATTTTATATCCCAGAAGTTGAAGTTTTTTGGCTTCATTTGCCACTGAGCAATTGTCATAGGAATGAGCAGGGTCCTGCCTCCAACGCTGTATCCAGTTCTCTTTATACATCCTCAGTCTGGACGCTAATGTGTGATTCTGGTGTCGCAATTCTGCTCTCTGTATGTCTGCCATCCACCCTGACCACCTCCCTGTGATCCAGCACGGTACATAGTGTCTCACAACACAGTGTTTCATTATCTCAAAGAAACATTATCTCTGTTGTCTGTCCAGGCAGTGATTGATATACTTTATTAATCCCCAGTGGGAAATTCAATATTTTTCACTCTGTTGTCAAATACACACAGGCCCGAAGTACACACACATGCACAAACAGGACCTATACATGCATTAATGGGAGAGATGTCAGGGTGAGGGGGCTGCCTTGGTCAGGCACCTTGAGTAGCTGGGGGTTCAGTGCCTTGCTCAAGAGCACCTCGGCAGTGCCCAGGAGGCGAGCTGGCACCTCTCCAGCTACAAGTCCATGCTCCTTACTTGGTCTGTACAGGGACTTGACCGGCAACGCTCTGGTTCCCAAGACAGGACTGAACTACTGCCTCCCCTACTTTGCTTTGTTTTTTACTCTCCCTCTGACTGGCTTGTACTCACTGCCTTCGTTGGTTTGATTGGTTAGCTTTAGATAGGAAGAGGGAAGCTGGAAACACGTCATGTGGCGGGTGTCAAGTGCCGCCTCTAGCACACACCAGACACGTCACACTGCAGCTCATTAACAGACGACCGCACACAGTTATTACTACTTTCACTGAAAGATCGTATACCTCTTCCACCTCTGCATCAGCTTAAAATCATGCGTGGAGAGCCCCAATTCTAACTTCTCACCTGAAGAGCCGATCTTCAGAGCTATGACTTGCAAGGCAATATGTTTTTGGCTATTGTCTTTATATTGACAGGATTGGGTCGTTTAGCTCAGGATATTTCTCGACCTCAACAGCAAGTCTCTCCCCATTCTTTGTCACACATGAGACACAGCAACAGCGTGAGAGTTCTCTTCATGCATCCATGGTGAGGAGAGGAGTCGAGCTGCCAAAAGGAAGAGAGGAAAAGAGCTGCTACGGTTGGAAATAGGAGAGTGGCGTAAAGTGCCGTGGGATGGCGCTTCCAGGAGCACCGACGTGCATCTAGCCACTGCCAGTGGTGTTGTACACTGAAAATAATAGGGGGATATTTTTGATACGTGGCATTCACCATTGATGTGTTTTGGCCTTTGGATTGGTTAGGGTGAGGGTAAAAATGTCAGAGTTAGTCAATCAGAAGCAGAATAGGGCAGAGTAGGGCGGGTCATGCCTTCACCATCCTCTTAAAAAAACTTGCCAGTTGGACTTAACTAGCTAGCTACAGATGATATAATCTGCTAACAACGGGAACTGCCCATTGGTTCGACAGCCCACTGGTTCGACATCCCATTGTTCCGACCATATTAAACTCATTGTTCCGAAGTCCGTTCCGAAATCATCATGACGCCCTGTGGTTAAGGTCTGGTTAGGTTTAGGCACAAAAACCACTTGGTTAGGGTCAGGAAAAGATCATGGTGTGGGTTAAAATGAAAAAGAAAGTGGCAAACACATAAGCCGTGAGCCTGCTCCGCCTCAAGCCAGTCGCGGCGCACCATACGCCCGCCGTGAGCCGTTCAGCACCACGGACAGTCGGACTAATGGGATGTCGAACCAATGGGCTGTCGAACCAATGACATGGACCCCTAACAACAGCTGTCATTTCATTCTGAAAAATAGTACGGAAATGAGAAGCTGCTTTTGTCTACCCTTTCTTTTAAATGAAGTACCCACTTTTGCAAAAATCACTAAGACCGTCCATAAATCTGGTGACATTATCATTATTATCTTTGTAAACTGCAAACAGTACAGAGAGCCTCTGTTCCGTCTGCATCAATGCAGTCTCTCATTCATTCAGCAATTCTTTTATCTGTCTGAAACAATGAAGCGTGGGACTGGAGTTAACGCTCCATATTGTGAGACAAATCAGCATCCACAGCACTTACTAAGAGAAATTGAAACCGTCAAAAAACACGCTTATCTAGACATATGAAGCAAACCGCAGGACAGACAGAGTGTCGGCTTTGTTCCAAATCTTTATTTCTTTACATCTGCTGATGAAGATCGTGTGATCAAAATCCCCATAACAGCCACTAATGGATCTTGTGGGATAGGCCGCGTTCTCAAATGTCATAAATCAGTTTTGTCGGAACTTTCTGGTCGCCTGTGAATTTAATTTGTAAAATATAACAACTATGAAACTTATGAGCTGCCTTGGGTTTTACTTTCTTGCAATGGTTTTGTTGGTGATTTACAAATAAATGATTCATGTTTTTTATTATTACACTTGATGCAGAGTGTTGGCACATTGCCCTGTGTCTTGAGTCCATTTGTGTTTCTGACTGTGTGTGTAATTTTCAATTTCATTTTCTACATTACAGCTCTGGAAGCCTGAGTAAACCCAAGAAAACACAGTGTAAAAAATGCAAAATGGAGCGGGTTCAATTATAGAATAAATCTCCTCTGGTGAACATTCTCACTTTATATGTATGCAAATAAATTCCGTCTCACCATGTCATTTGTTCACAATAAAACTTTTTTTTTTCCTCTCGAGAAAAAAAACACAGTGGAAGTTTGTCTGTGCAGAATATAAATAAGAGGCTCATACATTTGGCTTTCTGGTCTTGAATTCAGCCGTTTAAGTCTTGTTGACTGTTGTCCTCCACGGTGAGGCATGTGATGTTTCATGTTGGTTTGTGGAGCTCGGCTGATGGCATCAGTCGACTGGTATTGCTACAGAGACTCAGGAGACTCTGGTGCTAACAATAACATTGTCAACACCCTCTCTGGGAGGTGATACAGCACGGTGGTTAGAGACAGAGAGAAAGATTGAAAAGAGGAGTGGGAGGAGACCTGAGGAGTAAAGGAGGAAGAGGGGAGGGGAGTTTAGAGCGTGTTAACGACTGATTGGAAAGTTTCCTCTTTGTTCCAATCTTCCATCAGCCCCCCCTCTCCCCCTCCCCTCCAGTCATCTATTCCATCATTTTGTCTTTTCTCCGCTCGCTGTTCCTCCGGAGAGAAAGTGTGTCTGCGTGCATGTGTGTTTGTGTTAGTCGGGTTTAGTCCCGCAAGGAGCCAATTAAAACGCAGACTTGGCCATGAGCATGAGAGCCAGAACTTGGGAGTGTGTGTTTAAATATATGTGTGTGTGTCGCTGCGTGTGTGTGTTTTCTCAATGCACCCCTCTCCTCGCTCCCACCAGAAAACAAACACAACAGCTGTGAAAAGAATAATACCTTGAGGAAATGGTGGGGAAAAATTGCCAATCATGCAGACACAAACACACACACATACATACGCACCTTGTCGTGATGCTCATCCAGATACTCCCTCACAGTAGCTAACGCCTCGTGCACAGCCTGCTCAGGTGGATATCCTACACAAACAAAAATATACACATAATTTGCAAGAACAGGTGCAGTGACAGATCTTTGTGTTTGCGTCAGGTTGTCCTCTGCACCGGGTTTTTTTTCCGAGACAGGTATCTTTTCTTCTTTCCACTATTCTAACACTCTCTTCTGTGTTTTCTCACTTCCTCTCATCTCCACTCGCCTATTCCGCCAAGGTGCAGACATAACACACTTGTTGGTTACGAGGAGACAGATGGAGAAAGACTACGGCGCTTCTTCAATATTCATTCAGCGGCCGAGACCTTTCAGTTCTGGAAAATTATCCCCACTGCTGGAGACGCAGCACAAAGGCAGTAAAACTGATCATCTGGCCAAACAACTCAGCCACAAACAAACACATACTGAGTGATTATACAGTAATTATTCTATACACCAGGAGAGAGTGCTCAATATGGGAGCAAAGGGGAATACATGGGGACGCAAATTAGCACTGAACAATGCATTGTTTCAACATCAAAATACACACACACACAGAGGGATGTAATGTAATATGTCAAAACCCATTATGTTACTCTATATAAACTATTTTACTGCTTGATGGGAAAAACATTTGCCTTTCTATAGCTTATGTTAAAGACAAATAGTCTTGTTCATCTGATGAATAAGCATCTTTAAAATGAACAAATGTGGCCCACCTACACAGGTTCTCTCACTTCTTTGCCTGTTCTCAGAAGTGTGTGGGTGTGTGCAGACTGAGTGACACCTGCCTCACTCTTTTTTAAGAAAGGACATTCATAGACGTCTATTTCAGACAAATGTGTTTGAATAAAACATGATGCCATTCAGATTAAGTTTAATCAACCTAATGAGAAAGGGTTTAGAAGTTATACTGTGCAAGGCGTTCCCTTAAAAACAATGTATTGACTCTAAATCACCACTTATGACTCACTAGAAGTTTGTGGTGGTTTATTTGTCTGCAGAGACTCTGCCCTCTGACTTTATTTTATTATTCTCTCCTTATTTTCTATGTTCAGGACATTCCTGGGTTCCTCACATAGGTGAGGATGGGACTTTATAAAAAAGTAGTGACCAGGTGCCAGACTGTGAGCAGAATGCATCCAACAAATCCTACAAAAATTGTGGGGACAGTGCAGGAAAAAACACAAATACTGCCATACAAATGGAATTTTTATTTCACTTTCACTTTTGCTGATGATACTGTTTTCAATCAGTATTATCAGCATACCTGACAATTCTTGCATGGTTTACCTTTCAAGAAAGTATTTGTGAAGATGCCAAAATGTTTCCTACATTATACACTCACGAATACTTAAAGCTGTCTCACACCAAGCATGTATTTTTATCCAAAATCTTTGCACAGAAATTTATAAAAATTGATTCTGTGGGGGTCTATGAATGCTTGCACAGTCCTGTAGAACATTCATGCAGGAAGAAAATAATGTTTGGGCGGCCCTCGATTTCAGCAGATTTCTGTCTGCGGAAATAAATGTTTGACCACTAAAACCATGTTATACATCTGATGTCATACCTCCATGTCATAGCTAGTGTGCTCCAAAAATGGAGGAATGTTGCATCATTGTAGTTTCCTAATTTGTACCACAAACATTGTGATGACTACCTCAATAACCAAATGAAGAACAACAAGTGACTTGAGATCCGCCAGCAGCTTCTAACATTATATGGTGGTCACTAAACATGGCTAACTACAACAGATAGCATTAGCATCAAATCTGGAATCTGATTAGTCTAGTTAGCCCCATAGACATATCTGTCTGGATAGGTTTGTGTTGTGTGGAGTGGACACTCATTTGCAGTGGTGTGGTAGTAGTTGATGAGTTGGGTGTACTATGATGTAGATGCGTAGGTTACCAAGGTCACTACTAACACCTCGATGTGTCTGGATGTGTCTGGAACCTAAGAGTGGACCTTGATCGGCAGCTCAAGGTCCCGACAGAGACAACTACAACCTCTCTGAGACCAGACATCATCCTGTTGTTCCCCTCAGTCTGAACAGTGATCATGGCAGAGCTCACTGTCCCTTAGGAGGGAGGAATGGAGGCAGCTTACGAAAGGAAGAAGGACAAATACACCGAGCTGAGTGTCGAGAGGTGGGATAGTCGACTGTCATCTGCCCTGTGGAGGCTGGCTGCAGAGGGTTCATTTGAACTTCCATCCAGTGCCTCCTGAGGAACATGGGAGTGACCGGGCCAAAGCTGAAAAATGCATCCAAGGATTTGGCAGAGGAGGTGGAAAGAGTGAGCTTCTGGCTTTGGCTGAGAAGCAAGGATAGGGCATGGGGAAAACAAGGGTCCTAGGGGTAGCTGCAGGGAGACGTCCCTGCCGTTGCTCCAACACCGTGAGATGTTCCGGGAATAATGGAGCGAAACATTAGTGAAAGGTGGCTCCCGGCTAATGATCCTGCAACCACCCTACTGGCACCGTCGGAGGTGTGTCAGGTGGAAACACCCTGCAGGTAGCCCTTACCTGTGCTTGCATCTGTTGTGTGGAGTGGACACTCATTTGCAGTGGTGTAGTAATATTCCAATGGCTTTTTGGCTGATAGGTGGGTACACTGTAAACAGCCAGATAAAAAAAAGGTGGGTACAACCCCTGTACCTGTGTATGCCTTCTGCTACACAGTGCTCATTCAGCCTCATTCACCGAATGTTTGGAACTTGGAACACAGCAATGCGGACAACTGGCACTGGACCTGGTGGGCATAGTTACCATGTGGAAAATTCACATGCAGACCGCATTTCCACATCGCACCGCTGCAGTAAGGACTCAACTTTTTGTATATCCTCCTGAGACCCCGTGTCCTCATATAAGGACATTACATTTTGAGTCTACTTGACCTTACACTTCATTCTGCTGAACTTAGGCCTGTTGTCCACTAGTAAGACAACAATACACTAATCCATGTAAAAACAAGATGGCTTAGATGCCTTATTGTCATTGACAATGTGTAGTTCCTTTATATTTACCAGGTCCTACGAATCACAAAGACCTAGGAGAAAGTAAAAATGTACACCTAACAAAAGTTGGGGTCTCAGGAGGATAAAGGACACATGCCTTGGGGCACCCTGAGAAACAGCTTTAAAGTATGATTTATGATTTATTTTTATGTTTACCTGCAGACAGTTTGAAGCAAGAATAGATCCCAGTCAACTGTGTTTGCCTACACATCCTGGGCAAAACACAGGATGTGTTTAGTCATGATCTTTTTCTTACCTCAATGCAAGTGTCTTTTTTGTTTATTTGTTTGTTTTGTTTTTTTGTAGCCCTGGCTGAACCACACGCATGACACAGGATGCAAACTCTCAAAATCCTTCTTTTTGTACATCCACTACCCACTCTGATGTCTCATAACGTCTCCTGTGAAGCATAAGAACATTTCCTGAACTGGAAGAAAAGTGTTGCTACTGAAATTAATCAAGGCAGCAATTGGTGTTTCCTCCAAAACATATTTACTAATTTTTTCAGTACATTGAGTTAAGTACACAGCATAGGTCTTCCTACCTAAACTGTAACGAGGTCTAATAAGGTCTGAACAGGTGTTTTCAATCACTCTGATTGAAAACACCTGTGTAAAGAGTCAGTATTTATTTGGTGAGAAATTGGGATGTCTGTTAAGTACGTTGGGGACTTCTTTTCCACTAATGGTTGCTCAGTTTTAATCAAAATTTATTTGTTTTTCTCTGAGAGCTCTAAGTTTGTGCCATTATTAAAAACTACTAATATGACTGGCTGGCAGCACTGCTGGCACAACCTCTCCATTATTTTCCACTTTCATCACATCAAAAAGTTGGTTGATAAAAGGAGGAGTGCCATGCTTTACCAGCTGTTAGGTAACATAAAATACTCCACAGTACAGTTTGTTTCTCCTTCCTCGTTTAAAATGAGCCCAGCTGACAGAAAAAAACTTCACAAGTAGAAGGAGACAACAAGCTATACAGAGAGATATCGTGAAACCGGCGCGAGGGAGAGGAAGACACGGATAACACACTGAGTCAATCAGAACTTTGGCCTTTTCCTCTCTCTAGCAACAGGGAGAAGTGTTGACAACAGGCCCTCACACCCAAACCACCCCGGGGAGTGTTTAAGCACTATCCTTAACTCTCTCTCCTGCCAGTGTGAAGGGGGATTACCGTCAATCTGACACAATCTCTGGCCTAATCTATCTTAATCTGCTGGTCCTAATCCAAGGCCTTAATCTGAGAACCACCTCTGGGCTGCAGAAGATAATGTGACAAGTGGCACTGGGGTGGCTCAGCACTCTGGTTAAACAGAAAGACTGATACTAGAAACAAGCGTGTGATGGCAAAAACACAGCCGGTGTGTATGCAGCGTGTAATCACAAGAACAAAGATATATTGTTGTTATTGTTGGATGAAAATGGTTGTTTTTTTTCTCTCTCACTCAAAGGAAAAATCATCAGCGGCATATGAAGCCCTGAGCAACACAAAAACACTTGAAGTAAAACTATGAAAATGATGATAACACACACAAACACACTGAACATATGAAAATGTCATGCATTTGTTCTGGTGTAAGGAGGAGACACAGACATCAACACAGACACTGACCGTAAATTCCAGTGGAGATGCAGGGGAAAGCCTGCGGAGTAAAGATGACAAACACAATGGTTACAGTCTATTGCTGATGATCACGTAACAGCTAGCTTTCATTTCACATGCTCACACACGCACACGCACACACACACACACCAATGCACAGAAATCACACTCTCTGCTGGATCTTAATGGAGTCTTTCTCCTGATTGTATTTTATGGCAGCTTTTCTTTTCCGTCTGACTTTCACTTCTATTTAAAGACCAAACTGTCGATCATCCTTTGTTACCGGTGTACAAGACTTTCCTTCTGCAGCCATTAACCAGACATTATTATAGTAATTATAAAGGTGGGCGTGGTTACCATTATTAGGGAAAATATGACAAATATATTCTAATATTCTATATTCATAATGTTATAATCTGTAACAGTTCTGTCCTGGTTGATTTGGTAATACCAGTGATTTCTTATGAAGTGTGGTTTAACAGTGCAGGTCACAGAGTTACGTTCAAAGTGACATGTAATAGAGCTTGGATCCACAACCTAAGCCTTATGGGATCCAAGGGGCCAGGTTCGGACAAATATTTACAAATGATGTTCGGTTTCGGGTTCAGGTCAGGTTCCGCCAACTTGACATGGTCCTTAATGCTTCACTTCCCAGTTAATATCCACCAATATGGCTAAGTCACCTTTCTATCCACCCATCAGTCCATTTTCATCTGCTTATCTGGGGCCGGGTCTCGGGGGCAGAAGGCCAAGCAAAGCACCCCAGACATCCTTCTCCCCAGCAACGCTTTCCAGCTCTTCCTGGGGGACCCCAAGGTGTTCCCAATCCAGATGAGATATAGTCAGGTCCATAATTATTTGGACAATGATACAGTTGTCGTCATTTTGGCTCTGTACACCACCACAATGGGTTTTAAATGAAACAATGAATACCTGCTTAAAGTGCAGACTCTCAGCTTTCATTTAAGGCTTTTTTCAAAAATGTAGTATGAACCGTGTAGGAATTACAACCATTTCTTCACACAGTCCCCCGACTTTAAGGGCTCATAAGTATTTGGACAAACTAACATAATCATCAATTAAACAGTCAGTTTTAATACTTGGTTGCAAATCCTTTACAGTCAATGACTGCCTGAAGTGTTGGACACATAAGCATCATCAGATGCTGGGTTTCTTCCCTGGTGATGCTCTGCCAGCCCTTTACTGCAGCCGTCTGCACTTCCTGCTTGTGTTTTGGGTGTTTTGCCCTCAGTTTTGGCTTCAGCAAGAGAAACGCATGCTCAGTTGGATTCAGGTCAGATGATATGACTTGGCCATTGCAGAACATTCCACTTCTTTGCCTTAAAAATGTCTTTGGTTGCTTTTGCAGTATGCTTCAGGTCAATGTCCATCTGCACTGTGAAGCATCGTCCAATGAGTTTTGAAGCATTTGGTTGAATCTGAGCAGATAATGGTGCCCCAAACACTTCAGCTTTCATCCTGCTGCTCTTGTCAGCAGTCACATCATCAATAAATACAAGAGAACCAGTTCCACTGGCAGCCATACATGGCCATGACATAACAGTACCTCCACCATGCTTCACTGATGAGGTGGTGTGCTTTGGATCATGAGCAGTTCCTTCCCTTCTTCCTTCTCTTGTCTTCCCATCATTCTGGTAGTTGATCTTTGTTTTATCTGTCCATAGTATGCTGTTCCACAACTGTACAGGCTTTTTAGATGGTTTTTGACAAACTCTAATCTGGCCTTCCATTTTTAAGGCTAACCAATGGTTTGCATCTTGTGATAAACCCTCTGTATTTATTCTAGTGAAGTCTTGTCTTGCTTACAAGAGCAGCAGGATGAAAGCTGAAGTGTTTGGGGCACCATTATCTGCTCAGATTCAACCAAATGCTTCAAAACTCATTGGACGATGCTTCACAGTGCAGATGGACATTGACCTGAAGCATACTGCAAAAGCAACCAAAGACATTTTTAAGGCAAAGAAGTGGAATGTTCTGCAATGGCCAAGTCATATCATCTGACCTGAATCCAACTGAGCATGCGTTTCTCTTGCTGAAGCCAAAACTGAGGGCAAAACACCCAAAACACAAGCAGGAAGTGCAGACGGCTGCAGTAAAGGGCTGGCAGAGCATCACCAGGGAAGAAACCCAGCATCTGATGATGCCTATGTGTCCAACACTTCAGGCAGTCATTGACTGTAAAGGATTTGCAACCAAGTATTAAAACTGACTGTTTAATTGATGATTATGTTAGTTTGTCCAAATACTTATGAGCCCTTAAAGTCGGGGGAATGTGTGAAGAAATGATTGAAATTCCTACAAGGTTCATACTACATTTTTGAAAAAAGCCTTAAATGAAAGCTGAGAGTCTGCACTTTAAGCAGGTATTCATTGTTTCATTTAAAACCCATTGTGGTGGTGTACAGAGCCAAAATGACGACAACTGTATCATTGTCCAAATAATTATGGACCTGACTGTATGTAAACTCTCCAGCATGTTCTGGGTGTGCCCTGGGGCCTCCTACTAGTGGGACGTGCCCTGAGCACCTCCAATGGGAGGCGCCTAGGAGGCATCCTGATCAGATACCTGAACCATCTCAACTGACCCCTTTCGACTCGAAGGAGCAGCGGCTCTACCCTGAGCTCCCTCCAGATGTCTGAGCTCCTTTCCCTATCTCTAAGGCTGAGTCCAGCTACCCCACGGAGGAAACTCATTTCAGCCGCTTGTATCCACAATCTCATTCTTTTGGTCACTACCCAGAGCTCATGACCATCATCCCTCTTCGCCATGACGGTCCGGCACAGCGCCTGCCATCATCACAGAAGCCGCACCAAACCGCCGCCTCATCTTATGCTCCATTCTACACTTAATCGTGAACAAGACCCCAAGATACTTGAACTCCGTCGCTTGAGGCAGTAGCTCCCTTCAAACCCAAACCTTTCTGTTTGTTGTCAAATTGACACAAGGAAATGGACGTGGTGGTGTAAAGAGGATCATCTGCATGTCCCAGCAATAACACCAAAGCAGAGTGATTTCCTTACAGTAAAGGTGTCAAGCTCATGTTGGATTTGACATAGAAAACTGAATTTCCTTTCGGTTGTGCTCGGTTTCTACTCTCTCAGACTTTGGTCAGGTTTGCAGCCTGTATGGGAAAAACAGGCAAATAGAATAAAGACAATAATTGTGTCACATAAACACAGTAAATAACTGGACATTTTTCAACATGCTGTGAGCGACCGTGATCAGTTTACCTTACAACAGGACAGACTTGTAAAAGGAGTTGTTACACTGAGTGACAACGGAGAGGAGCTGGTTTTCAAAAATGGCAGTTAGAGCCTCTCGCCAGCAGCACTTAAACAGCTCACTGTGGCCTTTTCACAATAATAGCCACCTGTGTTTCGACAGTTGAGTGCTTTTAAAGGAATTTTCTTTCTCCCTAGTATGTCTTAAAACTATTCTCTTAGGGGTTAAGACGCCAATCATGAAACACAATGTGTCCAATTCGAATCGTATTTGTTTTTTGTTTTTTTTAAATCCTGTTGGGGACCTTTGTTGCATCTCTCTAACCCTCTGTATCTATAATCTTTCACCTCTCACTGAGTAATAAAAGCATAAAATGCCCACCAAAACAGAATTTTAAAAAATGCTGGTCACATATATATTCTGTATGTACTTTGACAGCACTGTTAGTTGATCTGGGTTCCTACAGCTTAAGGCAAGTTTAATATTTAAAGCCAGTCGGGATGAAATTTAAAGGAATACTTCCACCCACAAAATACCCATTTGTAAATCATTTAGTCATGTCTTGTAACCTTGTTCCTGCTTGTTCTTTTTAAACGAAAAAGGTTCCGCCAATATGTATACCCCTACGCAGCGGGAAATTGGGCGCCTCGGATCAACTCGCCAATCCGGCTCTGTGTGTGTAAATGCTCGCAGCTTGCCAGCAAAACGGTCCAACATTCGCCGAAAATCTGGCAGTGTAAAAGGGGCTATAGTTTGCTGTTGTTAAACATGGTCCCTAATCAATGGTTGGTTCCCAACTGATGGGTCATGATCCAAAAGTGGGTTGCAGGCCCACTCTGAATGGACCGCAAGTGATTCGCAAACGTGTCAAGTTCGTAAAAAAAAAACAGTACAGTAAATTTCTAGAACAGAGCTTTAATTTTGAAGTGTTGTTTTGAGTGACTAACAGACAGCTACTTGACAGAAGCAGCAAACTAGCTCAAGAACATGGCCAAACGTGAGTATGACGCTGAATATATTAAACTGTGTGGACCTCGAACTAATGACTAAGGAGAAATCTGGACATCGTGGCTGAACAAATTGGGAACCACTGCTTTAAGACGAATGTTACATTGACAAAAAATGAAGACTCTACTTATCATTTACTTAGGGATATGGACAATTTTGACCAAATATTTATTTTGACATAAAATGTGACTTCATTTGGTGCTATTAATGCAAGACGCAATCAGTAAATTATATTTTAATAAAAAAAGATGCTAACGATTATTTTGAGGTTTAACAGTGCAATGTCAGAAAAACAGTTTAAAAATCCTACTTCACATTTGGCATTTTTAAGACATCTGGAAGACTGATTTAAGACATTTTAATAGTAATTGCAGCCTTATTTTTTGATTAATAAATTCAATGCCATTTAAGCGGAAACCCTGTTTAATTGTTCTTCCTACACATACTGTCTGTGAAGAGATCGCTATTTCAAGTCAAATACAATATGAGACTTCAGTTGTGTGAATCAGCCAAATGACGAGGGTATGTTCCAAAGTTTCAGGCTTTTTAGTGTCAAATTCCCTCCTTTTACTACAATCCCTCGAATCCATCTCAGCAGGGAACACAGTATGGAGAAACACAGAGAGATAATTTGCCGCTATAACACTGTAAAACTTTGGAAGATAGCCATTTGATTTTTCTATTTCAGGCGGCTAAAATCTCATAATAGTTTCAGCCAAACCTCAGCATGCATTTGTACACAGAACAAGGACTGCAGATTTTGTCCCTTGTCACTCACATTGATGTTCATTAAGAGAGGTACCTCTTTGTGACTAGCACAGGCAGCAGGGACACTTTCAAAGATCAGTAACTTTTTAAATGTACAAATGAGCATGTGAGTATTGTTTTTGGACAGATTTTTTAAAAAGGACAAAATGTTCTGTTTGCATTAGCAGTAACTAAACATAACTCTGAAGCGGCTGCAGGGGAACGAACAGTAAATGAGAAGCCTTCGATCAATCAGATACAATTACAGTACGATACTCTCCTGTCCAGCTGGCTTGTGAGTTTGACCTCAGTCCATCATTAACTGCTCCTCAGTGGAACACAATTTGGAGGTCGGCATTGAGCTCCTTTAAATGTGTGAGATTAAGGATTTTACGATATCAGATTCTGAATGGCGCATATTTGTCACATTATCCAAGACGGATGACAAATACCAAGATTTATGGTGGTACGATAGAGATTCATTACTCCACCTGCTCTGGGACCATCCAGCTGTTGGCACACTCTGGTTTAGAAGTGATATCCCTTATGTCGGAGTTTTTCAAGTTTAATTTTTCAGTTTCTGCCATAGCATGCCTGTTGGGCCTGAAGCCAGACAATAGTGTTGGAGTCACTGCTGACTGGCTCTGGACATTGGGTTGCTTATCTACTAAAAGACTCATTCTTTTGAGGGAGCGTAAACTAGCCTGCTTCTCCAGGGATTCATGGCTGGAGGAATACCAGGACCTGCTGAACACTGAATGGGCAGCCTGCCTGTTAGAAGACTCTGATAAGGGCCTGGAGGACCACTGCCCACAGGTTTGATCATTTAGTAAATAGTAACTTGCTCCCAGCAAAACAGTAGCTGCTCCCACCTGAGAGGGCTTGTATGAAGAATGTATATGATGTACTTACTGTATCTTGTGGGTTCTGGGTTATTTTGTTATGCTGCACTTTTTTACAGTTTCCCTTGTTAAATATGTATATATGCGTAATGGAGAAAACAAATTATCAAACTCTTACAGGGGGCTATGGTATGTTTTAGTTTAGTAAGGTTTTCAGTAGTGTTCCTGGTGTGTTCTCATCCAAAATTCAGATTTTGGTGAAAGAGTGTAGCGACAAAATACTATTTTCCCAAGCCCTTTGAAAAACGTTTGTCACATGACCTGACGTAGGTTTCTGCATGATGTTGTATCCATATATAAACCCATGTACTGCTGTGGACACCACGTTGATTTTGTTCTGTAAGTCACATAATGACACAACCAATTGAAGTGGCAGTGGATGAGCAACTCCCATGTTCTGAGAAGAAAAATGACTGTTTTTGTCGGTGTAGTCTGGTGGCTTTGAGGAGAGCATTGATAATGGCTTCAGTTCCTAAATGGAGGGGGCTGTCTGATGGCAAGGTGAAGCAGTAAAAATAATCTAAATTTAGCATACACTTAAACTTAATTTTGTTTAAATATAAACGTGTTAGGTGGTCCTTTTTTGTAGGTGGCAAAAATACACTTTGCTGCTTTTTTTTAAAAAATAAAAAGAAACAAACAAACAAACACAAAAAACCCACTTGCTGCACCTTTTTATTGTTGCCATGCAACCACACCATCACCTCCTTAGGCCCTGATCACACAGAAGGTGTTTTAGCAGCTGGAGGCGCTTTTTTGTAATTGTTAATGAGAATGAAGCTTTTTGCCTGCCGTTTTTGCATTTCTGTGCTCTTGACGCCTAGTGTTTCTGCCGGCGTTTTTGCTCTAACCTTCCTGTGTAATCAGTTTACAGTTCATGTTATTATTATGTTTTACAGTAATTAGTATCTAGTTACTAAAATGTTGAGGCAAAGGATACTGGCTGTAGCTCTGATTGAGGGTGAGAGGCTGTCATCAAATCGTTAGTTGGACACAGGGAAACAGAGATATGTGGGGGTACATGAGACCCTAATGAAGAGGGTGGATCACGATGAGTGCTGTGTAGCTCTGTGCAACCACCAGTTTCTCCTCCATAGTTTACCAACTTCAAACTTGTTGTCGTGACCGCCACAGAAGGCCCACCTCTCAAATCATTCAATTGGACAATGGGGAAAAAGATGATGAAAAAAGAGATGACGTGGGGCGTTTTTCTGCTTTGAGATTAATTTTTCTAAACAAAAAAAAAGTTCAGAGCGCTCTGGCAAAAACGCCAGGTGCGTAGAGCATAGAAATGTGAGGCGCATCGCAATACCAAAACCGAGTGAGCAAAAAGCTTCAATCTCACTTAAAACAATTACAAAAAGCTGCTAAAACACTTTCTGTGTGATCAGGGCCTAATTTTACCTCGCAGACCATGAGGAGTTGGTCTGCCGCTGTCTCTGATCAGTTAGTTGGTTTTATTGTGCAACTTTCTGAACTAAACTAATGTAGCGTCCACAGCAGTGTGTGGCTTAGCTTTCAAGCCTCAGTAAATGTACTCCTGTCTGCTTCAAAACAATAGAATAAAGCACATTTAGGCATAAAAAAAGAAAACAAAGATTCTTTGAATTCACAAAATCAGGAGCAGCTCCAGACTTTATGCCCTATGACATCACAAGTTTGGGACCTACTTCTCTGGGTTCTGGCTTTGAGAGAGAGTAGCTCTTATTCACAAATATTGATTAAACTTTCCTCAGCCATGGAAATAATATATTGGAACTCTTAATTTAGGTGGTGTAAAACTTCCCTCACTCTCCATGCTACACTGTAAGCAAACTGCATGTGTTGGGGTTTTGAGGGATGGGAGGGCACCAGTCATCCGCTGATTGCTAAGGGCTGAGTGGGAGTACTCGTTTGAACAACACGAAAAAGAATGCAGATGGACCCATCCTTTAATATTAAAAAAAAACAAAACATAAACATTTAAGTGCATAATTCCCTGTGAATCCCTTGTTAGTGACTAATTTGAAAACCTTCCCAGGAAATACAGACCATGCCAACAACAAACTGTTATACAGTGAAGTAATTACTGGATGTAAACACACTGAATCCCTACTGCTGAAAAATGTCAAGTTAAAAAAGGGTTATGATGTAAAAATCTTATGCATTATAATATTAAGTCATTGGGATCCATGTCAGGCAGGTTCGTGGCACACCACTGGTCCTGAGATGAGAAGAGCAGCCAATAAACTTCAAAGTAAATCAAATCTGGCAGATTCTCAACCTTCTGTCAAATACTGCGGTACGAGCAGATGCCAGGATGCTCTCTGTGTCTCCAGATCTCTTAGTTTGACCAGATTGCAGAGTTGGCAACTCGGGTTGAGAGGAGACACGACTCACAGGTTCCTCAAGGCGAAAGGTAAACATAAAAGTCAATGGAAGTGAACCAATAACAAAAAGCTTTGAGGGCTAAAACACACAACACTGTAGCCTGATAGGAGTGAGGTTGTACTGAGGAAGAGGAGGAGATTTTATCAGTGTCAGTAAAGCCCTGTGAGGCAAATCTGTGATTTTGGGCTATATCAATAAAAACGCACTTGACTTCATTTCACAGTATCAGTCAAATAAACGCATTGTGATAACCCCTGCACATATATACACATTATAAAGGTAAAAAGACACAAATGCAGATTTTGAATGACTGAAGAAAACCATAATTAATTCTGTAATTAAAAATGCAAACTGTTTGCTAATAATAAATTCTACATCACTCTCGAGTAGTGAAACGACAAACAGACAGCATTTATCTTTCTTCCACCGTACCTCTGACTTTATTTTCATGTCACTTTGGTGTTTTTCTTTGACTTTAACACATCGTTCTGTTGTGAAACCTCCCGCCTGGTGTGTTTCATAAAACCTTCTTACAACTCAACAATCCAACCTGCAGCTCCTGTTGTTTCTCTCCCTCCATCTATCTCAGTTTGAATGTAGTTTCCTTTGAAAAATCTTTCTGTGAAGGATCTTTTTTGACTTTAGCTGCAGGTAGAATATTTTTTTACACGTCTCAGTCCTTCACCCTTTTACTTCTTGCCTGTCTTTTTTGCTTTCTTCACTTTTTTCTGTGTCCCAGTCTGGAGTGGTTCTCTTCCCTCTACCTCTCTGTTTTAATCTAATCTCTCAGGTTTCTGCACACCCTCGTTCTCTCACCCACAATGACAAACAGCTCAGTATCTCTTCATCCTTCCTCTCTTCCTCCCACTTTCTGCCTAACAACCATCCCCAGCTTCCCTCACCCCCTCTCCTCACCCCTCCGTCCTTACCACAGTGCGTGCAGCGTTTTTGGTCGCTGTGTTCAGGCTGTTCTTGTAGCATGACCTCAAGGCTTTCTTCTCTCCCTCTCCCACTCCTCCTTGTGCAATCGGCCCCACAGTGTGGATCACATCTGCAGAGACAGCGAGAGACGAGAAGATGAAACACTTCTTACCACAGTGTGACAGATACAAAGATAGCAGTAAAATATATCTTGAGTTTAATCTCCCCCAGTCAGATTCCACATTTACTCAGGGTGTATAATGGCAGTCATGTTTAATACAGTCTCACTTTTATCAAAATTAATTAAAAATATAAATCAGGAAATGTGGTTCTAGTGTTGACATAAAAAGTTCATGGAAATATTTAATCCTGAACCGTCTCCCATTGTCTATTTCATTAACAATAAAATGTTCAACTTTCTTCATGCTAATCACAAATATAGTGTCAGTTCATGTAAATGTGAAACTTGTGTCTTGACTGGAACCGAGCAGTGACCTTTGGGGCTGAAATATGAAGCCAACATGAAAGTGCCTAAAACTGCAGTTCCTCTAATGGCCACTTGAGGCTGGTTTCAACAGCGAGTCAGTCCCCATAGACCTGGCATGTTAAAATGCCCAACTTAACAGCAGAAATTAAAATGTTTACAGCCTGGTACAAAAATGTGTTTGGTCTCTGTAGCTAATTTCCACCTTTATAACAATACAGGGGATGAATTTTTATAAAGCTGACTCTTAAATTTTATCACTATTTAAAGATTTGCATGTTTGAGGGGCGTAACTGCTTTGAGTGACAGGCTGTCTACAGATTGTGTTCTCAAGCTTTCAGTCAGATCCACCTATGCTTCTCCCCAGTGTCACACTCATAGGGTCACTTCTGGCTTGAAAAATTCAAGATGGCGACCATAAAAACGCAAAACTCGAGGCTTCAAAACAGTCTACAAATCAGTGGGTGATGTCACAGCGGCTATGTCCATCATTTTTACACAGTCTGTGGCTGGAACAGATGACTTTTGATTAGGTAGATTAATGCCGAGTTCATGTCATGTGAGAGTTATCGTAAATTTCAAGTTTACGACTCGTAAAAAGCTTTCACGTCAGTGTCAATGCATAATTATGACGGGGAAAGTTGGAGCTCCAATATATCCAACTCAGTGCTTAATAATACACAAGTGCCTGAAAATGTCAGCCAAAGTCCATCGTTGTGTAATCAAAACCAAACTTAGTGTACAGATGTCATATTGTTGTTTTAGATTTTTTTTTCTTTTGTCTTTTATTAGACAGGATGGACGTAAGCGTGAAGGGGGAGAGAGGGAGGCTGACATGCAGCAAAGGGCCACAGGCTGGAATCAAAACCCATGGCTACTGCAGCAGGGACAATGCCTTTGTACATGGGATGCTCACTCTAACCACTGAGCTGGGTGCCCCCATGTCACATTGTTAATGCATGCTATTTTTAACCATATCACCAATTCTGCAGTCACACAACTCTCTAATGTCCCATTCACTATGTGTGGTGCTGATACTCCGTTTTAACTCTGTGTAGGCCTGTGACTCAGTCAGCCTGACTGATGCAATCAGCTGTCACACCTGGTATTTATAAGTTTTTGTTTCCTGACACCAAACTGCTCCCGGTGATGTTTTCTTAAGAAAAATCAGAAGCTTAAAACTAAAACAAGCCACTGTCATTTATTTTATGACAAGTAACCTGACTCCTTGAAAAAGATGGAGGATTTGGGTCATGGAATATAAAATGATTCGGGAAAATGATAGACCTTCATGTAGACAGAGCTTTGCTTCCTTTTGATCAATTATGTCAGAGGTATCAAATCCCCAAAAAACATTTCCCTTAATATCTAAAGTTAAAAAGCTACATGCCATTGAAATATGAACAGATGATTTGTATTTTATCAAAACTTGAGGACAAAACCCATTCATTAAGGATAGAAGAGCCATATATCTAAATATTACAGCATATAGGTGGCATAAAGTAGCCTACAGAACACACACTAGATGGACTACACGCTTGGAAAATGGATATATAAGAAGATATTAATGTGACAGGTTGAAAAGACACTTGTTTAAAAGTGCAAAAACAGACAATAAATACAAGGTTTAAATTATTTCAATGTAAATTGTTAATGAGAATGTACATAACTCCTGTCAAACCTTCACCGTATGCCTGGTTACACTCCATAAGAATTTTGTACTAAATACTTAAACAAGAAAGGTACTTTATTCTCTACATATGGGAATGTCTGAAGATTCAAGACTTGTTTGTCAGAGCAGCCCAGTTGCAACGAAAGAGAACAGAAAACGATGGCATTGTATTTTCCTGCAACCACAAATATGTTACATTTGTACGTTTCATATGTATCATATCGATTTTTCTAAAGTGAGGTAGGTCATGGGCTGACGTTGTCATTGGGAGGTGGAGGGGACAGTGGGTGACGGCACAACTAAGCAACATGCCTGTCAAACTGCAGACCACGTCAGACCATTTTTTGAGGCCAGCACACAACAAAACCAGCTGTGTTTCAGCAAATCATCACTGCATTTCCATTAGCTTTTTAGGCCTTAAGTGGGAATGCTTTACAGGAACCCATCAGTGTTTTTTCAGCGGGGATAGTGCCACAAAAAGCAGCAACAGCAACTCAAAAATGCTGTGATTTTGCTCCCAAAACCAGATATTTTAAGCCAAAACATGATCCTTTCCTAACCATAACAAAGTGGATTTTGTACCTAAACCTAACCCCGTTAATCACAGCATTGTTGAAACATAAAGTTTCAACATATCTGTTACATGATAATTGCTTGCACATGTAACAAATTCATGCTTTGCAAATACATACAAAGTCAACTTTTTTTATTGACAATTAGGTTGGTCGGAGGTGTTTAATACCAAAGTCCTTTTAAAAGTCAATCTCTATGTACTTGGAATATATCTGGAGGACTTTTTACAAACATCCAAACAGACCAAACTTCTGGACTTTGGACTTCTTCAAGCCAGGAGAGCTATAACACTGCTAAAAGAATGTGGATGCTCCATCATTGAGAGTGTGGATAAAGAAGCTTTAAGATTGTACCAGTCTGGAAACGCCAACTTACATTGCTAAGGGCAAGTAGAAAGACTTTGCTCGGCTCTGGGAACAGTACACGAACATTATGAAAGCTGGAAATGTAGGTCTTATCTAAAAGGGGAAAAATTAGGGAAATATTTTGTGTTTATTTGTGTTCTATCTCAATATCTGTGCATGTGGTGTGTGTGCCTGTAGGTGTGTACGTATTTCTGGTGTTAAACTGTTGTATTGCTACTGTATGTTTCCTTGATGTGATTTTATAACAGAAGAAAATGAAAATAAACATATCTAGAAGCAAAAAATAAACCCTACTCTTACTGTATATGTGTTAAATATCAGGGGATCCCAGCTACAGGTGGGTCGGACCAGTTCCCCTCAGGCCAGGAAAACAGAACACACACAAGAGGGTGAACAGGAAGCCTCACATCAAAAGGCCAAACTGTTATTGTGAGCATGTTTGGTAGAATGTAGGCCATGTTTTTCACATCTCAGTCAGCGATGTTTCGCCCCATAACAGACTGAATTCATATTTAGTTTTAACTTCACTCAGCATTCAGTGAACTGCTCCCTTTCTTATCTCCCATATACAGTATAGTAATAGCATTTAATGTTAGATTTTAACAGCACACCTGGGAGGTCATAAAGGAACTGCTGTTACTGGTTTAGATGCTGCATGCAAGTAATTTTTAAAGGCCTTGTTGATAACATTTTTATGAAGACGAATAATAAAAATTAAAAAAAAGAATGCATCCGCAGAGCTTTAAGTAAGGTGTGGAATAAAAGTATCGCTCAGTATTTCAGATTATAATTGTAAAGTAATCATTTAAAAAAAGAAGAGAGAGACAGGTTTGAAATGAGTGTTATTTTTATCTCTGTGGAAGATGTCTGACGTTCTAACAAGGCTTGTGAGCCAATGGTTTAACAACGTCGGTGTCATTTGTTATCTCTGCATCATCAGTTATCAAGAGTTTTAGTAGGTGCCAGTTAGTATGGAATAAACTGAAAAATAGCTGAGTTTGGCTGTAAGCCCCCGACTTCATTCCTGTACTGATCCCAAGTGCTCAGCGACAAAAGGAGGAGCAAGGCGCAGGGTGAAAACTGCTTTGGCTTTTGCTCATTGTTGTCAGCTGTAGAAGATTCAAGGACTGAAAAGTCATGCCGAGGTGGACACTGTGTGTGTGTGCCTGACCCCAGACCATCCCGACTCCCTGCTGGATCAGCAAACTTTTTGTCACTGCTGTAACACAGGTTAGATTCAGCACTGTCAGTTCACAACTGCCAGGTTAGCATGAGCTAACACAGTGGTAGCAGCTAACATCCAACACCGAGTGTTGGAAAGGCTAAAAAGTTAGGCCAAGGTGGTCCTTTTGTGTGTGTGTGTCTGATCCCAGACCATCCCGACTCCCTGCTGGATCAGCAGACTTTCTGTTGCTGCCATAACACAGGTTAGACACACCACTGTCAGTTCAACATCTGCCTGGTGAGCATGAGCTGACACAGTGGTAGCAGCTAGCATCCAACACTGAGTGTTGGATGGGCTGAAAAGTTAGGCCAAGGTGGTCACTTTGTGTGTGTGTGTGTGTGTGTGTGTGTGTCTGATCCCAGACCATCCCGACTCCCTGCTGAATCAACAAACTGACATTTAGCCCTGTCTGTGTGTGTATAGGCGGCCTCTCATCAAATGTCCTTGATGTGGAGCTCAAACTCCTGCAGCATCAGTCTCCTATCAGAGGCAGAGGGACCACAGGGGTCTCTCAATGATGTAGAAATTGCACTGAAAACAGCGTTGGAGACAGGGCACGTTCATTTTCTAATAAAGATGCTCAGTGGTGCATAAGACTTAAGAAAAGTTAGACTTTCCAGTATTTAACTACCCGCATCTTCCAAATTAGTGAGCCCATAAAGCAGGCACACTAGGGACTTCTCCTGTTGAACTGCTGACTTACAGTTTAGCACACTGCTAACTTGAATGGGAATCTTTCAGCTCCCCGGTGATCGCCCTCCAGCCAGAGAGCTGAAAGATTCTGGTAAGCTAAATGACCTCGGTTAGTTTG